GTCCTGAAGATTCCTACCGGGTCTTCTCAGAATAAAGATGCTCCCCCAGGGGAAACGCTAACTCTCCCACTGACGGTTCCAGGCCAAGTTCTGCCCTGATGAGGTGACCCTAGGATGCAGCCTTCCCCACTTCAATCCTCAAGATAAATCCTTTCTCAGAAGGAACATTCACCTCCCTTCCCCAAATTCTCCTCAGTATCCCCAGTTCTAATCAGCAGGGACCAGCATTCTGCCATAAAGGGGAGGTGAGGGAGGGGAGAAGAAGAGGGAGCTCAGGATTCCGTATTAGGAGGGAAGCTGGGGGCTCTCCCGCTGGTAGAGTGGGCTGGCTCCTTTTAGTCCCAAGAAAGCAGGGGTCTGCAGATCCCTCCTCCAGGCCCCAGCCCCACCCTCCGCCCTCCTAGCACTCCTCCCTCCTAGGGGGATTTTCCCATTTTGGAAACTGGGCTGCCTTCGGCTCACAGGGACCCGGGAGAGGTACAACATGGGGGAAGGTCGAGGCCCTCTCCCAGCCACAGCACTCCCCAGCTCCCCCCACCTCCCACCTGCCTTCCTCTCACTGTGTCCAGGCCAAGGAGGAAAGGGCGGTTTCTGAGTGTTCTCCAGCAGCTGGTATGAACTGGCGTGATGTGCCTAAGCTTCCCCTCTGGAGAGTCCAGGCCCCAACTCTCCATCCGTGCCCTGGCTACTCCACAGGAGGGGCTCATTCTCCAGAAGGAAAAGGAGAATGCGGAAGGTATGCAAGCAGACAGGACCTGGAGCACGCAGGCAGGAGTCCTGGGCCCCAGACCTGCAGACGAAAGACAACTGTTGAGTGGGTGGGTGAGTGAGTGAGTGTGAGTGAGTGAGTGTGTGTGTGTGTGTGTGTGTGTGTGTGTGGTAGGGTGGGGGGAAAATGTACCCTCTGAATCCTCCCCTTCCCCCGCTGTCATCCCTTTAAGTAGCTTGGGCAAAGGAGGGCCAGATGGGGGAGGATAAGGAAAAAAAACCTCTCTTCCATTCTTCTCTTCCCCTCCCCCAACTCCCTGACATTCCCCTCGATCTCTTTGAAGGGGGGTGAGGTAAAAGCCCATTAATGTGCAGAGCCCCCCCAACCCTTTTGAATCTCCTCACAGGATGTGAACGGGGTGGGATTTGGCCCAGTTGCCACGGCAACTGCGATGGGAGTTCCCAGACGCTAGGCAACCCTCCCGTGACCCTCGCTGACCTGTCACCCCCGCAACCCATGGACAATGGGAGTGCGCGCTCCAGAGGCCCGGGATGCCTTTCAGGCGGCCTCAGCACCACCGCTGGCAGCTCTGCCTGCCCCCACCTCATCAGCTCGGCCCTCCTGGCCCCAACTTGGCCAGTGCACCCAGACCAGCCCCCAGGACCTCCTCTCCCAAAATCTGGCACATACTTCTCTTAGGCTCCATCACCCCTGTCAGAGAGTCCTAAGGGCATTTGTGGGGTCCCACTGGGAACATTTTCATACAAGTGAAATCAGATTAGGATAAAACACAAGGGCAACTTTCAAATAAAAGAGCCATCCCATAGGGTAAAAATGCAGGGAGGGGCACTGTGGTAGAAGCATTTGCCTTGGTGAGGGAGGGGACGGATGGGCAGCGGGTGTGTCTACAGTCTAGTGTATTCTTTAACAGCAGCTGGGGATCGCCAAGACCAGCTGGCCAGCACGGTGCCCAGTGCAAAATAAGTCTGAAGGTGTTTGCAGATTGACTGACTGCTCCAGAGCCCACTGCACTTCCTGCACCTTCCCCTCAGGATAGACAGATTCCCCATGGGGGTAAAACTGCAGACTTGGTGAAGCCCCAAGGACAGCCTGGAGGTGGCACGGCTCTGTCACTCACCAATGACCAGGCTGGGATGAGGGAGGCGGAAGCTGGGGCCTTGAGGGCTGAAATGGGGCAGCCAGCCAAGGACCCTCTCCCTCTAGTCAAACCTGGCCTGGAAGCCAAGCCAGGTCAGCCCCCGGCCTCTGTTTAAACAAGCTCCCGGCCTGCTGGTTGCATGGAGACAAGCGCCTGCTCTTGTTCCGAAGTGACGTGGCCACCCTCTTCAGCACTGTTTGTTTCAGCCTAAAGTCCTGTCACGGGCCTGACTTCTGACTCGACCTGTTTCTCTCTCTCTTCTCTGTCAACTCATTACTCCCAAAGGCCAGGATTGCATTTCCAGGGCTTGTTTACTGAGAGCAGGGGAACAAGGACCGACAGACAGACGGACAAAGGCAGAGGGGCCTGGAGAGCCATGGAGGGTCCCAGGAGAATGGGACCAGTTTGTTGTCCACCGACCCTCTCCCACCCCACTTCCTACCGAGTTTGCAGATGGCGCTAGAGTGGCTATTTCGGGCCAGCGGGCAGCGCTGCTTTTATATCACAGAGCCCTTTCCGGTTGGAAACGAAATGCACTCATTTACTCATCAACAGACATTTCTTTAGCACCCACTATACTTGAGGCCTTGCTGCCTCCATTTCCCAGGGGGACTGCGTGACGGAGAAGCAGCAAAGGGGCAGGTGTGCTGAGCCCTCAACTAGGAACTGGGAGACTGAGGTCTACGCAGCCTTTATTGTGCCATCTCGACAAGTCAGTGTCTACCTATGGCTGTCTCATCTGTGAAATGGGAATACTCATATCGACCTAACAGGGATGGTGAGCTGATTTGATGACAGCATACGCGAAGGCCCCAAAGCACCAAACAGAAGAAAGGCATCTGTTTGTCCTCTAAGGACTTTGTGGTCGGGGTTGAGAAGGAGCAGGAACCCAAAGGGCCAGGCTCTCTTTCCTATACTTGCTTAATCTACAAGTAGGAACTTTTATTGTTGGGGACTAGGAAATGTTACCCTTGAAGGTCCCCGAAAAGCTTCATTCATATATTGAGGGCAAAGAATAGCCTACAGACTGTTTCATTTCAGTGGAAACTCTTGTCATTTTAAGTTTGCAAGGTTCTTTTCAAAGTCTGGAGCCAAGAAAACCTTTTTTAAGTCTTAAATATGTTCCTTGGCCCTGGGCACTATGCCCATAGTGAGCCCAAATGGATAAAACAGCCCTCTGCCTGCCTCCAACTCCCCACCCCAGTTTATTTGTGAAACAGATATAGGATTTTCCAGGACTGTGGGATATTCCCCAAAACAAACAGCAATAACTGGAACGTGGAATATAGATGGGAAAACATGGCTCATGTGCGATGCAGAACCAAGAAACCTGATCAGTACAGACAGTTCTGTCTTTCCCCACCCCAAACATTTCCCCAGTTATCCAGAGATCGGTATTCGTTCTTCACTTTCAGTAATTTTTTAAAAGAAACTTTCCAGTTTCAGTACTCCCAAACCTCCACCACATTCAAAATTTTTCATAACTCTGTTTCAGAGAGGGAAGAGCTGGCCATACCAAATGGGTGGCCTTGGGATTCCTCATGGGGCATGTTTTGCTATTATGTTGGTAAAGGGTAGGATTTTGCCCTTTAACCTTCTCTCCCCAGCAGACGGCACAGACTCTGTGGGTCTCTTCCCCAGACAACCTGCTTAGGAAGGCATGGGAGATGCCAGCAAACTTCTGACGACTCTCTCCCTAGGGAAGGGCATTAGGCTCTTCCCTGCTCCAGTCTCCACCACGGGCAAGAGAAAGTGATTTTTGAGGTCCTCCGTTCTGCTCACATCCACATCAACAAGTGAGCTGCACGTGTTGCATACCCAAATTGCATCTAATCCTAACAACTCTGTACTTGAGACGCCAAGGAGGCCAGGGCTCAGGAAGGCCTATGACTCTGTCAAGGTCATGCTGCTGGTTAAGGGGCTCGCTGGGACTAAAACCAGGTTTCTTTAATTCTTGCTTTACTGCTGGCTGACCAGCTCCACGCAGGGGTGCCAAGCTGCTGATGGTGCTGCTTCCAGTCTGACTTCTGGCTCCAAGGAATATGGTGGGAAAGAGGCCCTTAGGGTTTATGAAGTTGGGTTGTAGGAGAAGGAGGACAGAGTCCTAGGGCGAACTTGAGAGAGACAGCAGGGCCACAGAGGGGCACATGAGGGCACTGTGGTACATATGCGTATGCACACGTGAGGCAGGAGTGGGGTACTAAGCAGGGAGGTACACACGGGCCCCTCCTTCTCCATGTTCCTAGCAGACCCCCAAGGGCCAGCACCACCGGCAAGTGATTCCAGGAATAGAGTCAAATTAGAGAAAGACAATCCCAACGCCAGGGCTGGCTGGGCAGGTTCTCCTCAATTTGTCGAGTATGATTTTCCTTTTTTCCCTGGGTGGGACCAGGACATGAACCCCTGCTCTGTTATCACCCAACCAGATCTAGGCCCATCCTAAGTGCTTCTAGGTCCTCAGAGAGGCTGGTCTTAAAACTCCTGAATTCTGTACTTTAGGGTGGAAGAGGAAATAGAAGACACAGACAGGGGTTCCCAGTTTGAGTCCTAAAAACGGAGGCCTGCCTTTGCCTAACTCTCTTGGCCTTTACTCAGCTGCCTGGGCCTCTCTTCACAGCTTGGAAGCTTGGATTGGAGGCCCAGGCTGACTTGGATGCAGAGAACGTTTTGCAACAGAAATAATGTGAAGATCCCCGTGTGCACAGCACTCTCTTAACCCTGTTCAATTAGCCAGTTTCCTAGCCAGTGTGTAGGTGAAGAGTGGAGTGCCCCCCCTAAAAAAAAAAAAAAAAAAAAGAGTGGAGTGCCCAACAACCCAACATGCCAATTTCATGCCTGCTGCCCAGGTATGTGTCTGTCTCTTCTTATTGGCACTTCTGGGACAGTTTCAAGTTTCATGATCTCAGACCTCCAAGTCCCACTTCTCTCTCTTGAAAATGCTGCGGTAGCCCAGGCTCAATATGGCCACCAGAATGGGAGGGTGTACAGGGAGTCCTCAGAGGCTGAACTGTCTTAAGAATGGCAGTGATGCTGCCTGGCAGGGAGTGCTGCTCCAGCAGCCAGGATGAAGTGGCATGAGGCCTAGTGCCCCCTCTCCCCCTCCCTGATACCCCAAGGCGTGCCAGCTCCTACCTGTTGCTGCTGGAAGTGTAACAGCTCCGCAGGGCTCATCTCACCATTGCTGTCTGCGCCCGTGGTCACGTCCCTGCCCGTGCCACTTGCGGTTGTCCCTGTGGCCCCGCTGCCGCTGCCATCGGCTTGCCCGGAGAGGCTGCCCACGCCATTCTGACCGGATGGAGCCGACCTGATTGTCTCCGAGGCAGATTCCACCATCATGTCGCTCTAGCGGGAACTGGAGGAGGAAGAGAGGCACGGGGGAGACGCTGAGGCTCAAGGCTGAAAGTGCAGTGACTGCTGATCCCCAAAAATACAACCATCACCACAGGAGGAGCTGGGCATCCATTCCTCCTCAACTTCCCAGAGGCTGCTCCTGGGACACCTGATGGAGTGTGGCCTCTCTTGATGTCCCCGGAGGTAAGGGGTAGCTCCACATTCCCCAATGTTTTTTTGACTTCTAGGAGACCTCGTGCTGGGTGGGGAAGGGAGGAGACAAAGCCCTTGCACTGCCCCTCTTGGTGGGTTTTTTCTTTGTCCCAGTTGGGGTTTTGCACTGTTTATAATAATGACATGAAGCAGGGCTTTTTTAGTTTAAGACAAAGTCTCACTCTGTCGCCCAGCCCCAGCCTGGAGTGCAGTGGCTCTATCTTGGCTCACTGCAGTCTCCGCCTCCTGAGTTCAAGTGATTCTTCTACCTCAGCCTCCTGAGTAGCTGGGACTACAGGCACCCACCACCCCGTCCGGCAAATTTGTTTTTTAGACGGAGTTTTGCTCTTGTCGCCCAGGCTGGAGTGCAGTGGCTCGATCTCGGCTCACTGCAACCTCTGCCTCCTGGGTTTAAGCAATTCTCCTACTTCAGCCTCCTGAGAAGCTGGGCCTACAGGTATGTGCCACTATGCCCAGATAAATTTTTTTGTATTTTTAGTAGAGACAGGGTTTTACCATTTTGGGGAGTCTGGTCTCGAATTCCTGTCCTCAGGTGATCCGCCTGCCTCAGCCTCCCAAACTGTTAGGATTACAGGCGTGAGCAACCGAGCCCAACCTTTTGTGTGCATTTTTAGTATAGATGGGGTTTCACCATGTTGACCAGGCTGGTCCCAAACTCCTGACCACCTGCCTCAGCCTCTCAAAGTGCTGGGATTATAGGCATGAGCCACAGCGCCCACCCCCTATGGGTCTTAAGCCTACACCAACAAAGTAAAGAGAGAAGTTATTCACTAGGGACCCACCATATTACTGCCTTCCCACCCGCACATGAAATGGACTTTGTGTTTGCTCCCGTCCCAGGATGGACCACCTTCTCCAGGCCACAGAAGGTCCAAAGCAATAATTATTCTACAATAAAAAAGGCCGCCACTTGCCCAGTACCTACTGGGAGACACACACTGGGCTTGGGCATGGAGGTGTGCAATGAAGGAAGCCCTGGTTCCATTTTCTATCTGCCATTTTAAAGCCCTCAGCCCAGCGCCTGGTCAAAAGTAGATACTTTTGACCTCCAGAGTAGCTGGGACTATAGGCGTGCACCACCAAGCCTGGATAATTTTAGTAGAGATGTTGGCCAGGATAGTCTCCAACTCCTGGCCTCAAGTGATCCACCCGCCTTGGCTTCCCAAAGTGCTCGGATTAAGGGATTACAGGTATGAACCACTGCACCTGGCCAGGTTCCACTATCTTTAGTATGAAAAGCTGTTCTCAAATTCTGGGGGTTCCCCAACTACCCACCAGAGTCACAGTACCTTGAGAGGAACGTGGATTCAGTCAAACAGGTCAGATCGCGCTTGGTATCCACTACGGATATTTGACACATCTTAAACTCCCTAACTCTCAGTTTCCTTGTCTGTAGTAGGACAATGTTTCTCAGCACCTACGGGGGATTGGTTCCAGCACCCCTGTGGATACCATAATCTCCAGATGCGCAAGCCTCCCAGTTTGTCCTGCAGGACCTGTGGATACAAAAGTTGGCCCTCCCTATCTGTGGGTCCTGCATGCTGAAAATACTGTACAGTGTTTTCCATCTGTGGTGGACTGAATCCACGGATATGGAACCCGTGGATTAAAAGGGCCAAGTATATTTGATCCCAGCCTCTGGAGTCTTCTGAGGAAAAAACAAAACAAGCATGTACATGGCACCTGACAGAGCAGGCCCCAGTATTGATCAGCACCTTCTCCACCCACCCTAATTGTAAGGGTGGGGACATTGAGACCCAAACAGGTCAAGGACTTGGCCCAGATGGCACAGAGATCATCAGGGGGTAGAAGCCACATGAGCATTTAGCAAGAAACTGCGGAAGCCAGCCAGTTTCTTTCCCCGCATTTGGTCTCCTTTGGCCTAGGCAGACCCTATAACCACACGGTCTCCTTGACCCAAGTGACAGATGAGGGCCTTGTAGGTAACCAATGAGAAACTGCAGAAAGAGACTGGACTGTGATTTCTCTAGTTCCTTCCCCAAAGCATCTCCTTCCTACTCCCAAAATTCTCTTCTTTCACTCCAGTACCCGGCCATTTGCTCAGCTTTCATCCTGGCTGGAAGCAGAGTAGGGAGGAGACAGAGAACTACAAGGGGTCCACAGAAGCCACATCACTGTTCCTGTGGTCCCTCTTCATCTGTGACTCTGGGTGTCACTGTCCCAGTGAATCTGAGTGGCCTCCCAAGTGCCCTGTATTTGTGAATTTCTCTATATGTTCCCAAGGGCTTGCTCTTCCCCCAACCCAGCTGCTGCTCCACTCCTAACTTCTGAAAGGAGCTGGGCTAGGGTAAGGGCAGGATGGCAGTGATGGTTCTGAAGAGATTGAGCACTCGGTCTCAGGCCTTAATGGTCATGTCAGCCTGAGGGCTAGTGGCAGTGAAATGATGGATGGGGTGGGCACCATCCTCCACTAGCCACAGCACAGGGCTCCACCCCCCTCTCCTGAAACCACCCAGCCAGCAGCACCTTCCCCACAAGCTGAGGCCTGGGCCTCAGCTACATGAGGGGGATGGGGAGACAGGAGGGAGGGGGGCCTCCCCCCCAACCCTGGCTCTGCTGGTGGTGGAGAGCAGCTGCCCGCTCCGATTCCAAGTCTAGCTTCTCTGAGATCTGAGAACTCCTGGGCCCCAGGGGACAAAGACCAAAGCCTCAGGGGTGAATGCATGCAAAGGAGAAAGGAAAGAGAATCTGGCAGTTACTTCCCTGGGGTTAGGGAGAGTGCCCCTCTTCCAACACTCAAGTAATACCATAAAGTTGCAGATCAGACAGTTAAGTTTGGAAAAAGAGAAAAAAGGAAGAAGGAGGATGCAGACAGAGGTGCTCCTTTCTTTTCTGTCTTCTTATTGGGGGGATACAGAGCGACACCCAGTGAACAACATAATTGCTGCAATGTGGTGTATAATAATAGCTATTCAGGGGCCGATCATTCATATTAAACAGGGTGAAGCAAGCCTCTCATTTGCATGCTTGAGATTATATGCATTTGAAAAGTCATTTCCGCAGGGTGTATGAATGGCATTAATTCCCATGTGGCACGCTCTGCCCCCTCCAGGGCCTTCACCCCACTGACACACACCCATACACCTCCTTCAATGCTCCCGCCCACCTACCAACATACCCCCAAACCTGCATGGCAGGTACTCCCAAGAGCTTTCCGAATTCTCACCTCTGCCCTGGGACACCTGCCCTCCAAGGACAAGCACACCAGCAGCCTCATGTCTCCTGCCCACCTCTTCACAGGGTGTCGAGACTCACTGTGGTGAGCAGGCTCTGGGTGCCTGGGACACCCAGCCAGCTAGAGACAGGATGGGGTGGGGTGCTGGCAGGAGGCCTTGATTATCAGTGCCCTGTAACTGCAAGGGTGTGGGGCATGGAGGAGGAAGTCAGTGTCCACAGGAGCCTGAGCCCCGGCTAGGGGAGCAGGCAGGGGCCCGGGCTCAGCCACACACCACTGTGAATGCTCTGTCTTTTCTCTTCTCTCAGCCTCTATTTCCCCATCTCTATATGGATAGGCGGTCTTGAAAGTCTCTTTTCACTCTCAGTCTGGCATGTGGACATGAAGCCACAGTATTTCAGTGAATACTGAGAGGCACTGATGGTCCACTGGAGTCACAGCTGGGTCCCTTTCCCAGTGGACTCCACCCAGTGTAGACCTGAGCTGCTTCCTCTGGTACTGAGGGGCAAGCTCCAAGAGGCCCTCCTTCCTTCTCCACACACCCCTAGCCTTCCCATCCATGCTCCTCCCCCAGCCACCAAAGTCCTCAGCAAGGAGCAGGTGAACACCTGCGGAACAGAAAGGCAGAGGCTCTGAGAATTAGACCATCTGCTTTCTAGGCTCAGCTGTGTGACTTGGGCAAGTTACTGGGCTGCTCTTTCTGCCTCCATAAATGAGGTGGGGTTGGTCAGGAGTCTTTCTAAGGTTCACCAATACTGAGTTCTTATCCCCCACCCCAGACTTCCCATACCCCTCTCCTACCACGTGTTGGGGGCAAATGGAGACAGCACTGGAGGCCGAGTTATTCTGGCAGGTCCAGGATTTGTCTGAGGCTCAGGTCCTGTACTCGGGCAGGACCTAATCGGCCGTCCCTAAGCGTTCCCCGTGGGGGAGCCAGCGCACCTGGAAGCCTAAGCCCGGCCCGGAGGCTCCTGCAGATGCCGTCGGAAGGAAGCTGGGTCAAACCCGCGGCCGCCTCTTCCGCTTTGGGGGAGTCTGCGGGCCGCTGGGGGCTCCCACTTCCCCTGAGGCTCCTGGCTCTTCAAAGAACCTGGGCCGGCGAGTGCGCAACTAGGGACGCCCTTGGAACTTGCCGGAGTCCGCCCCGTCCCCTCCCTGGCCGGAAGTGACGAGTGCCACCTACCCTGGGGCCAAAAGGGGGACCCACGGGCTGGGGTGCTTTTGGGGAAGGAGAAAAGAGAAGGGGAGCCCCACACGCGGAGAAACCTTTTGTGCCTTTTCGCGGGCCCATATGGCACAGCAAGTATTAATTACCGTCGCTTTTTAATTAACAATCGCTTAATCTGAGCCGTAACATTTGCCATGACACCCTGCGCCTCGCCGCGAACCCGCGCCGCCCGCCCTGCCAACTCATCAATTAATTTTTATTGACGTTTTCTTCCCCAAACAGGCACAATACCAGGGTTTTCCAATTAACACCTCCGCGATCTCTAATTAGTGCAATTAACAGACTGATGGATGCCTGGAGTTTACCCGCGGGGGAAGGATGGAGGGAGGGGGCGGGGCAGCCCCCAGCGCGCTCCTGGGCGTAC